ACTCGCTGGATGGGTCGATCGCCCCAGGATGTCGAAGATCAGATCACCTACCCGCTGACGGTCTCTCTGCTCGGACTGCCGCAGGTCAAGACGATTCGCAGCTACTCGATGTTCGGCTTCTCGACCATCCTGATCATCTTCGAGGACGACGTCGAATTCTACTGGTCGAGATCGCGGATCCTGGAGAAGCTCAACAGCCTACCGTCCGGCACGCTGCCCGACGGCGTGCAGCCGGCCCTCGGCCCCGACGCCACCGCGCTCGGTCAGATCTTCTGGTACACCATCGAGGGTCTCGACGCCGAGGGCGAGCCAACGGGCGGTTGGGACCTGCACGAGCTGCGCACCGTCCAGGATTGGTACGTCCGCTACGCCTTGATGTCGGTCTCTGGGGTTTCCGAAGTCGCTTCGATCGGCGGCTTCGTCCAGGAGTACCAGATCGACGTCGATCCGGATGCCATGCGGGCCCACGGGGTCAAGCTGCAGCAGGTCTTCCAGGCGGTGCAGCGCTCGAATATCGATGTCGGCGCGCGCAGCATCGAGGTGAATCGGGTGGAGTACGTGATCCGGGGTCTCGGCTTCATYGAGAGCCTGGAGGATATCGAGCACAGCGTCGTCAAGATGAAAGACAACGTGCCGATCTACATCAAAGACGTCGGCGAGGTCCACCTGGGTCCGGCCGGACGCCGCGGCGCGCTCGACAAGGCCGGCGCCGAAGCCGTCGGCGGCGTGGTGGTGGTGCGCTACGGCGAGAATCCGCTGGCGACGATCAATCGCCTGAAGGAGAAAATCGCCGAGATTTCGCCSGGCCTACCGAAGAAGACCCTGGAAGACGGCACGGTGAGCCAGCTGCGCATCGTTCCCTTCTATGACCGGTCCGGCCTCATCTACGAGACCCTCGGCACGCTCAGCGACGCCTTGATCGACGAAATCTTCGTCACCATGATCGTCATCCTGCTCATGGTCATGCACCTGCGCAGCTCGCTGCTGATCTCGGCCATGCTGCCGCTCTCGGTGCTGATGACGTTCATCGCGATGAAGGTCTTCGACGTCGAAGCCAACCTGGTGGCGCTCTCCGGCATCGCCATCGCCATCGGCTCGATGGTGACGATGGGCATCTTCCTGT